TGCTCCTGTCCTTAAAATGCCTTTAACTCCACAAGAGAGTGTGTTGTTAATGTTGGCTCAAGGTTCCTTCCTGGTGAGTGGCCAACATTGTTTTGCTCCTTGCAGGGGTCCCACCAATCTTGTTTGCTTCTGCAGTGCCTCAGCCTGCCTGGAAGATGCCGAGATCGTGCTGCAGCCGCTCGGGGGCCCTGTTGCTGGCCTTGCTGCTTCAGGCCTCCATGGAAGTGCGTGGCTGGTGCCTGGAGAGCAGCCAGTGTCAGGACCTCACCACGGAAAGCAACCTGCTGGTACGTGGGCCATGACTGCCATCTTGGCTTAGACATCAGATGGGACTGGAGCTGGGAAAGCTCAAAAGAAAGGGGTGTGGGGAAAGGGAAATTCATTCCCAGTGATAGGCGTGATTCAACCCAGGGCAGGAGCGAAACTTTGCAGTGAAGTAAGAAATGGGAGAAGGAATGAGGGAAGGAAGCAGCTTCAGGGAGAGGGGTTGAGTCCACAATTTCTGTTTAGTTATCCTTACTTCCTGCCCCATCTTCTATGGAGACCTTGAAACCCTTAAGCTAGAGATGGTGCTATAAGAACAATAATTGCCCCCTCAATCTATTCTGTACTTTAAATCTTTAGCTTCCCAAACTATTCCTTTTTAAGAAGCTCATATCACTTGCCATTTTCATTCCATATTTCTTACCCTTTTATCTACTACCAGTTGCAAAACCAGCCAGGTAGTTCTTCAAATCATCTCTGGAAGAAGGAAAAACCAGGGGACCTTTTTTTTTTTTTTCCTCCTGTAATTGGTGCCAAATGTCTCATGCTACTTCTGGAGGACTGGCCTTCCCCCATGTCCCTCTGCAGTCTTTCCAGAGCATGTGAAGGCCCTTTGTGTCAGATAGGAGCTCCCTCCAGGTCACCACAGGGTGTATGTATCTGCATGTGTTGGGGGGGTGTGTGTGTGTGTGTGTGTGTGTGTGTGTTGGGGGGCATAAATGAGTAATGATGCCAAATCCAGAGATTAAAAGGCACACTGAGACCAGGCAAGATGGCTTATGGCTGTAATCCCAGCACTTTTGGATGCTAAGGTGGGAGGATTGCTTGAGCCCAGGGATTCAAGACTAGCCTGGGCAACATAGTGAGACCCCCATTTCTACAAAAAATAAAAACGTTAGCCAGGTGTGGTGGCATGTGCCTGTAGTCCCGGCTACTTAGGAGGTTCACTTGAGGCCAAGAGTTTGAGGTCACAGTAAGCTATGATTATGCCATCGTACTTCAGTCTGGGTAACAGAATGGGACTTTGTCTCAAAACAAAACAAAACAAACAAGCAAACAAAAAACCCACACTGTTATTATCAGTGACTGGGATTTTAATCCTGTTACCATCACCTGGCAGGTGCTGAGGGTGGAATGTACATAATTACATTCTGTGTATTTTGTCAATGCAGAAGCTGAGTTAAGGTGAAGATAGAATGAGGTCCTCAAAGACACAGAGCAATTTCCATGTGTAATATAAAATAGAAACGAAGAGTCCAGGGAATTCTGTGAGTTCCAGTTCAGAAAGACCCAAGAGTCTCTTGACTTAAGACACCCACTGCACAGCTCACCAGGGAGGGCGCACTGGACACAGTCAGGACACATGGGTTCTAGTCCCAGTCGTGAGCTGTGGGACCTTGACCAGGTCCTATCACCTCTCTGAGTCTCCTGTTTCATTATCCATCCAGGGGAGGGGAGTGTAAGTTAGTTTTTTCCATTGTTAACATTCCACAGAGCTGTAATTCTAAACACCTGAAGTCGGAAACGTCCAGCTCAACAGAGTGGGTAGAATCCTTTTATTTTCTCCTTTGCTATTCTCAAGTAAGAGAGCAGCCAGTGAGCTTTTCATCTTTTTATCACTGAAAACTCAAGGCTGCAACCTACGCAGCCATTTTCCTAAGCAAATATGTACCACAATTGAGTCCTCCAGGGACAAGGAGCAGAGACACAGGTTCCACAGACGGTGCAATGGAAATAACCCTGGCTTTCCACCCCTCCCTCCAGCCAGAATGAGATTACAGGGAAATGAGCTTGCCCCAGAGCTCACTGGGGGATCTCTCAGAGATCAGCTTAGAAGTCGTGAAAGAACCAAGGTGCAGTTTTGGAGGCTTAGTGCAGAGATGAAGCTGGGGTAGGGCATAAAGTAGGTTTTCCATCACTGAGGTAAGGTTGGGGCATTATTTAAAATATGTTTAAAAATATGGGCCCTAGTAGCCAGACTTCTATCACATGGAGAGATTATCCCCCAAATTTCAGCCCCCACTCCCCTCCTGGACTTGAATTAAACCATATGTATTTATTCTATATATATATATATATTTTATGAGATGGAGTCTTGCTCTGTTGCCCAGGCTGGTGTATGGAGTGCAGTGGTGTGATCTTGCCTCACTGCAGCCTCTACCTCCCGGGTTCAAGTGGTTCTCCTGACTCAGGCTCCTGATAGCTGGGATTACAGGCGCCCGCCACCACACCCAGCTTATTTATTTATTTATGCTAGAGATGGTATTTCACCATAAATTGGCCATGCTGGTCTTGAACTCCTGACTTCAGGTGATCTGCCTGCCCTGGCCTCCCAAAGTGTTGGGATTATAGGCATGAACCACTGTGCCCTGCCCTCAATATTCATTAAGTGCCAATAACTACCACCTGTCTGCCTTTCCTGGAGCCACTCCTTTATGTCAGGCATATAACAATAAGACTTTGGTCCTAGTCACAAAAGCTAGGAATGGCTAGATGGCTAGACAAACCACGGAATGGGATGGGGAGTTTGTTGCAGTTGCCAGGCAGAAGCATGCAGGGGATGGAACAAAAGAGTCGGTGGCAAGATCTTAGATGCCCACGAGTGCCAAGAAAGCAGGTGGGCAGACCTGCTCTGTAGGGAAGCCTCGACGCTTGACACGCCCGACATTGCGCCCTGTGTCCCCGGCACGTGGCGAGGGCAGCCAGGGCCTAGGCGCAGTGACGTGCGCAATGGCCGGGCCGGGGTGTAGAGCACGGGCTGCCCTCATGCCCTCGCGTCTTCCCCCAGGAGTGCATCCGGGCCTGCAAGCCCGACCTCTCGGCCGAGACTCCGGTGTTCCCGGGCAATGGCGACGAGCAGCCTCTGACCGAGAACCCCCGGAAGTACGTCATGGGCCACTTCCGCTGGGACCGATTCGGCCGCCGCAATAGTAGCAGCGGCAGCGGCGCAGCGCAGAAGCGCGAGGACGTCGCGGCTGGCGAAGACCGCGGCTTGCTACCTGAGGGCGGCCCCGAACCCCGTGGCGATGGCGCCGAGCCGGGCCCGCGCGAGGGCAAGCGGTCCTACTCCATGGAGCACTTCCGCTGGGGCAAGCCGGTGGGCAAGAAGCGGCGCCCGGTTAAGGTGTACCCCAATGGCGCCGAGGACGAGTCGGCCGAGGCCTTCCCCCTGGAGTTCAAGAGGGAGCTGACCGGCCAGCGGCCCCGGGCGGGGGATGGCCCCGACGGCCCTGCCGACGACGGCGCGGGGCCCCGGGCCGACCTGGAGCACAGCCTGCTGGTGGCGGCCGAGAAGAAGGATGAAGGCCCCTACAGGATGGAGCACTTCCGCTGGGGCAGCCCGCCCAAGGACAAGCGCTACGGCGGCTTCATGACCTCCGAGAAGAGCCAGACTCCCCTGGTGACACTGTTCAAAAACGCCATCATCAAGAACGCCTACAAGAAGGGCCAGTGAGGGCACAGCAGGGTCCTGGGGCTACCCTCCCCAGGGAGGTCGACCCCAAAGCCCCTGCTCTCCCCTACCCTGCTGCCGCCCAGCCTGGGGGCGGTGGTCGCGGCAGATATGCAGCCTCTTAAAGCTGTCTGTAGTCAGGAAATAAAACCTTTCAAATTTCACATCCGCCTCTGACTTTGAATGTAAACTGTGTGAATGAAATAAAAATACGTAGCCGTCAAATAACAGCAGCATGGATTGGAGGAGCACCGTGGTTTCCATGCGGTAGGCTATTTCCCGGGACGTAGTGAGCATGTAAGGAAAATGTGCTTCCTCCCCCTACCCCCAAATGGATCTTCAAGGGATCAGATAGTTTGGGTGAAGGCTCAGGGTGGCTCCAACACCTCTAGGATGGCCGTATTTTCCACACACTCCACTGAGTGGAAGACTGCTCAGCTAGCACACGTGCAAAGGCAGGATTCCTGCAAGAGTGACCCCGGGTGCTCAGGGGCTCCCCGGCTCCTGTCCACCTCCAAAAGCCAGTTGTACAGGTTGAGGCCTACCCACACCTGGGAGGGCTCTGGACTGTCACGTGAGAAGTCTTCGTAATGTCTCCGGGGAACTGAGTCCTGACTGCTCCTGGCAATTCATAGGACCTTAGGTAAGTCTCTGAACTTCTCCAAAATTTAGTTCTGTAATCTATCCCTCCCTTCCCAGTATGAGGGTTATTGTGAAGATTAAAGGACAAAATGGACATAATCTTTTCATCACAGAAGCTAAGTGTGAGAGCTGAGAGTTGGTATCAGTCCCAATTTGCACTCCCAGGCTACTCACAGATACGCTCAAACATACGGTCTCTCTCACACTCGTGGAGACACGTCTGTTTTAATACAACATACTCTACAGTTGCTTCTTCCAGCCCCTAGGGCTTAAGCCCTGATTGAGGCCCTCTGATCTCTCCTGCTATGCCCAAGCTCCTCCCTCCCCACATATTTCAGCTCCAACCCTTCTCCTCATCCTTAGTACTTCCCCCAGGCCTCTCTGATAACAGCTTCCTAACCAATTGGTCTCCTAGACTCCAGCCCTCTCCCCAGCCCATCATATAATGAATTCTTCGTATTAGTGTATACAAAATCTTGCTTCCCCCTCCCGCCCCACAGTCCCAGGCTCAAGAGTCAAAACAGTGCCCCCACCCCAATTTCTGTCAATTCCAAACTACTAAGCATGGTGGGCAGGACCCTTGTAGATGGGCACTCTCTCTTTACCAAACCCTGCTTCCCAAGTTTCCCTGGATGAAGGCGCTGTCTCACACTTGCTGGTCTCCTCACAGGCCTCGCATCGTCCTATACCCTCTGCCTGGAATCCCCCACCCTCCCCTGCAATTTTGTTGTTGTTTTCGAGACGAAGTCTCGCTCTGTCACCCAGGCTGGAGTGCAGTGGTGCAATCTCAGCTCACTGTAACCTTTGTCTCCCGGGTTCAAGCGATTCTCCTGCCTCAACCTCCCAAATAGCTGGGATTACAGGCATGCGCCACCACGCCCAGCTAATTTTTGTATTTTTAGTAGAGACAGGGTTTCACCATATTGGCCAGACTGGTCTGGAACTCCTGACCTCAGGTGATCTGCCCACCTCGGTCTCCCAAAGTGCTGGGATTACAGGGGTGAGCCACCACCCCTGGCTCCCCTACCATTTTGAATGCAACTCTTTTTTCAGTATGAACTCAGGCTCATGTCCACCTTTGTGGGGCAAGTGATGCCCTTTGCCAGGTGCCCTGTTCATTTTCAGTGTTTCTGCCATCAGCCCCTTCCACACTAGAGGGCGTGCTGTCCGGCTTGGATGGCAAGTTCCTTGCTGCATCCATGCCTATCTTTTCTCAGGAAAATTTCAAGCTTTGCAAGGGCAGAAGCCAGGTGTGTGTTTCTTTTGTATCTCCCCATAGTGCTGTCACAATGCTGGGACCACAGGTTTGCACATTTACATGCATTTACAATTCACATGAGACTTACCACATAGAGATGCACACATACATGTCAAATGCACTAGATAGACCAGTGCAGTATAGAGCAAAGCCAGCTGGGAAGCCTCTGTGTGTGGCGCTGACATATGTACCTCGTGTTATTTTGATGCTCTGGGAGTTCACAATGAAAAAATAATTGGGAATTCTCCCTGTGAAGTTTTGATATGCGGTGAGTCAGAAAGCCAGATTCTTTTTTTGTTTTTGAGACAGGGTCTCGCTCTGTCTCCCAGGCTGCAGCGCAGTGGTACAATCTCGGCTCACTGCAACCTCTGCCTCCCCGGTTCAAGTGATTTTCCTCACCTCAACCTCCCGAGTACCTGGGAGTACAGGCGCCCGCCACCACACCTGGCTAATTTTTGTATTTTTAGTAGAGACGGGGTTTTACCATGTTGGCTAGGCTGGTCTCGAACTCCTGGCCTCAAGTGATCCACCCATTTTGGCCTTCCACTGTGCTGGGATTATAGGCATGAGCCACTGCACCTGGCCAGGAAGCCAGATTCTTAAGACAAGGTGTTCCCCAATATGGCTTACATGGAATGTGCTAGAATGAATAATGGCCTAGGCCTTCCTAACAGGATGCTCCCATGCTGGGCATGCTGGGCCTGAGGTTTCCATCTTGGTAGCCTCCTTTCCCCCGCACCTTCTCCCTCTAAGACAGGTAAAGTCATGGTTAGTGGAGGTGGCTAAATGTCAGTAGTACACTGTTGGTATTTTCAGATCGCATTTGCTTCTCAAAAAAACCATTTGCTTTAAAGAAATCAAACAGCCATGTGGTGACAACATTAACATTTATTTGAAAAGGGCATCATGACGGCTCACTGGGAGATCGCGACTAATAGTCCTAGAGAATGATTTGGCTAAGAGTCCTTCTTCCTACACTTCCCCCCACTCCCCCTTTCCCACTTCCCGAAAATAAAACTAATCAATTCAATGGGTTTAAAATACAGAAAACCGCCACGGGCACTAATTCTGTACTCACATATAAATACACAAGCTATTATATACACATATTGTCAATTACAAACTATACTACACACACATGCACACACACACTCAGCCAGGTTGTGAGGCTCTAAGTGGACACAGACACATTACGAGGTATGGGCTGCAGCATTTGTGGATTCATAACTCTGCCTCCACGTGCCAGAAATCAACAGTCATGGGGGTAGAGCTTGGAAGAGGAAGGTGACTGGCTTGGGTGGCCCCACGGTCCCCTGAAGGAGAGGAGATCTGGCCAGCCAGGCTGGGGCTAAAGGGAGCACAGAAAACTGGCTTTGGCCTCAGGCCCTTCCCGACACCCTCCTGTCCCCGCCCTCCTGTCCCCGCCCTCCTGTCCCTGCCATACCCAGCAAGCCAGGCTCTAGGATGGGCCCATCATGACTATCCTTCTGCAGTCTTCAGACCTAGGCCAGATTTGGGGTAAGGGGCCACTCTAACCAGAAGATTTCTAGGGTTAACGGGATGAAGAGGCAACACGTTGCCCTAAACCTTTCCCCAGGTGTGAGGGAGATGCCCGGTTTCAGCAAGACCTGCCTGCCAAGGTCTGGGGTCACAGGAAGTAGGTCTGGTCTGCCCTGATGATGCCATCTCCCTGTCTACCTTTAAACCTAGTATCTACCTAACAGCCCAGTTTAGCCCTTTCCCACAGGACCCCAACCGGCCAGCTGCCATTTCCTGGTCATGAAGAGGAACTGGGAAAAACAGACTCACATTTCCCGGGCATTCTCTGTCACCAGGTCAGGAGGCCTGGGGACAATGGAATGGAAACTGCAAGGCCTCACATCCCAGGGTCCCCAGAGGAGCCCAGAGGTCTGGCCTGAGCTGTTCAGAAGAACCCCTGGCTAGTCTGATTCTTAGTCCAGCTGAAACGTGTTCTATGGGATCTAGAACACCCAGGGCAAAAGGCGGCACATCTACGACACTTGTGCTTCTTCAAGTACTTTAGTGGGTCCAGACCTCCTCTTTTCCTGCTCATCCATTTATATTTGTACATGAGAAAGGGGGTTGGACTGAGTGGGGTATCTGAGGACTTTTCTAGGTCTTCTGACCTGCTCAGGCTCCTTCTACAGTGAGAAGGCTGTTCAGGAGTTAAGAAACCACTGATTTCTACTTTTCAAAGAGGGAAATGGAAACAGGCACAAGGCGCTGGGGACTCCATGGCAAGGAAAACAGAGGGAGCCTCGGGACCACACTGGTGCTTTCTGCCGATCTGCTTCTTATCCATTCACCTGACTCCACCAAATTAACAGAACTTCCAAATGTCAAATACATTCCTGCCTTCTCAGTGCTGTCAGCAGAGTCCTGACCAACGCTAGCCCTTCCCCACAGAGCCGGAGTCTTTGGGCTTTGGGAGCAGCTGGTCTCAATGGGCTTACTGACTCCTCTTCGCTCAAAATCACAGCAGAGAAGGGTGGCAAAAAGGGGCACAATGCAGTGCCACCAGCCTCCGGGGGCTTGGAAGGCAGGACTCACTGATGCCAGGCCAAGGGCCGGGGTGCCTCCCTCCCCTCCGGATCCTGTCAAACTGCTTTGCCTCTCTCTCAGGGCCTGTGCTGGGGTGAGGAGATTACCTACTATCACACTCACCTTCACCTTTCTGATTCTGGCCTATTTGGCCAGAATCCAGGTTCTACTCCATGTCAGCAGACAACCCAACACTCTCCTGAGTGTAAGTTTAAATGAAACTGAGAAGAGGGCACTCAAAAAATGACCAGTTCTTCAAAAGAAGCACTTTTTTTGCCAAGCAGCAGTGATGGAAAGGAAAAGCTGCCTGAGACAGATGGAGAGGTAACAGCAGAGTCTAAGCAGCAGGAACCTGCGCCTTTTCTGTCTCTCTATTCACAGGATGGGGATGAGGGGCAGAAACATCTGAGTGGACCTGGGGGTCTCTGGTTCTAATGCTGGCTCTGGAAAGATGCTCCAGGGAGGCGACTGCCAAGTCACAGAACCAGCATTCACAGGCAGTGCTCAGGATGAAGCTGCCACTGGGGAACCGTAATGTCAAGTAGGCCCAAGAAACAGTGGGTCTCTCACCCAAGCTGGGCACAGGATAAAACCTGGGAGGAGCCAGTGAGGAAAGAACATGTTTGTGAATCAAGATTTCAATTTTCTTTAAAGTTTCTTTCAAAGGTTGGTTGCTGTCAAGTTTGAGTTAATTTAAAGGTGGTTTTTAAATACAGAAATATTAAAGAGAAGTCTAAGTTCATGCTTGTAAAATTGGGTTGAACATAAGCCAGAGACCACAAAACACAGCCAAAAAGCCTTGGGGGCGCAGGAGCCTCCATGCCTGGGCCCTGCCCTCAGGCCATTCAGAAGCCGCGTGCCAAGCCGGGCGCGGTGGCTCACGCCTGTAATCCCAGCACTTTGAGAGGCTGAGGCGGGTGGATCGCTCGAGGTCAGGAGTTTGAGACCAGCCTGGCCGACACGGTGAAACCCCATTTCTACTAAAAACACAAAATTCGACAGGCATGGTGGCATACGCCTGCAATCCCAGCTACTCAGGAGGCTGAGGCAGGAGAATCGCTTGAACCCAGGAGGCGGAGGTCACAGTAAGCCGAGGTCGCGCCATTGCACTCCAGCCTGGGTGACAGAGCGAGACTCCGTCTCAAAAAAACAAAAACAAAAACAAAATCAAAAACAAAAAACAAGAAAAAGATGCTGCGTGCCCACAGCGGAGATGGTGACCACAGGGAAGAGCTTCATCTGAAGTGCCGAAACTATGGGAATGAAGGTCAAATAGCCCCTTCCCCAAGACATTTATTGCACATATTAATGGGAAATGCTCATGTTCAGTCTCTCCCCGATTCTGGAAAATACATCCACCTAACAATCAGGCTCTCCCTGCGCATCTGTGTGCACCACGCATGGGGCGATGAGCTGAGGCCATCCTGAGAAGCCTGCCCTCCCCTTAGGAGAAACAGCCTGCTTCTGACTCCATGCCACACTGCCTGAAATTGTACCCTAAAAAGGGATTCCCAGCTACTCAGGAGGCTGAGGCGGGAGAATCACTTAAACTCAGGAGTTCGAGGCCAGCCTGGGCAACATAGTGAGACCCCCATCTCTAGAAAAAAAAATAAAAATAGATTCCTTTGGATCAAGAAATCTACTCACCCTGCCTCCTTTAGAAAGCAGACTCCAGGGAGAGAACATCTGACACTCACATCTTACTGTAGGTTATGTCGGCTCAGAGGAGTTACAGGAAATGTGACTAACGGAGAAGGAAAGGACGATTTTGGACCACACGGCACTGCCATGGGCGGAGCCCCAGGTGAGGTTCTGTCAGTGGCACCCCGGGAGACACAAAGGCTCCTGGAGAAGGGGCCAGAAAGGGGAACTGGCAAAGAAGGTAGCAAACTGCCTCCTGGGCCGCTCCGCCCGGCTCCGTGTTAGCTCCTCTCTGCACACCCTCATTACACAGACACAGACGGCACACCAGGAAAACAGGAACCCAGAACCCAAAGGGGTCTCCATGGCCTCTCCCAAGCCACACGCGTTGCCAGGTGGTGCCAAAGTCCCAGACTTTGTCCAGAGAGTGAAGAAATCATCCTAATATTAGGTGTTAGATCCTTCTTTCTTCAAACGGAACATCTAAAGAGTTGGCTTCTGATATCCTTGAGCCCCAAAACGCCACTCATCCCACCCTCCCCACTCTCCTACAACCCAGGTCAGGCTGGGAGCCTTTTCCACAGGAGGTGATATGGGCAAATCTTGAGGACCCTGCAGTTCCCCTCCGAGATTATCTTGTTCGGCCTTTCCTCAACCCAGAGGCGCCAGGAACACCTTGGGACCCTCAGAAGAAAGACATCACAGAGAGAGAAGCCAACTCTGGAAAACGTCCAGCAGACAACCAACACAAGCTCCTCAAGAACAAAGGAGGTAAGAAGCTGCTACAGGGACCACACTTGCCCGCTGGGACTGCTGATGCCACAGGCCCGCCTCCTGCCAGCCTTGCATCCTGCTTCCTACCCTTTGCTGCTCCCCCCCAACCCCTCATGGTGTCTCCACCCCAGCTCCATTACTAGGGCTCAGCATTCATTAATGGTAGAAACACAGACAAATGGGAGATGAGCAAGAGAGTGAGAGACACAGCAGGGACACGGGCGGGGAGCAGAGGCAGTGCTGGGGAGGAGAGAGCCATCCCCCTCTCAGCTTCCTTCCGCAGGGGAGTAGAGTCCTTAGCTTCCTCTCACCAACCCAGTCTCCATCCAGCTCACTCCTCTGGGGAGGACATGCACCCCCTGTGGAAGCCCTTCACTCAAAACACCAAGCAGGAGCTTCTAAGCCCCTTCCCCCCGGCTTCTCTCGAGAGACACCCCACGATTCTCTGCCCCTGCTGACATAAGAGAAGACGAAGAGGGCGCAGGTGAGACGCTGATTGGTGAGATCTCCCTCAGGGAAGACGAGGAGGAGGTAGGAGGGCCAAGAAGGACCAGAGAGTCTCCACCTTGGCTTAGCCTGGGAGGCGCTGCCATCCAAGGTGACATTTTCTCAGAGATCCCAGCCAGATCTCCATGTGGTCGGGTGGGCGTGAAGTGAGCCCCTCCTCAGACCCCATCCCCTAGAGGGGCTCCGGCTCTTAGAATTCAGTATACACACAGATCGGGAAACTTCATTTCGTAGACGGGGATGGAGTGGTTCTGCGGCTGACCGTAGGCTGCAGTGATGGTTCCCGATGGGCTTGGTGGGGGCCTAGGCAGCAGGAACACATGGGGAGAAAGGCATGAAAAGAGAATTTCAGGATCCCACCTTTGTGCAACCAAACAGAGTAGGTGACTTGGGTTTCTTTTTGCACAGGGACCAGTGACCCCTTAATTCCACAGGTTCCCAGGATTCCAGATTTTACTAGAATCTACAGCTTGGAGTCAAGCTTCACTGCAGGCTCCGCAGTGACACTGCTGCTTTAGAAAGTGCCAGCCTGGGACACTAGGACTCTTGGGTCTTTCCAGGTTTCATTGAGGTGGCCTCTTTCCCTCTCTGGTCTCTATTTCCTTGTATAGGGAGGGTTAGAGTTGGTGGCCGCCTCCAGCCCAGGGGATAGAGATTGCGGTGGGGTAGGAGGAGTGGGGGAGGGGAGGAGGGAAGACAGGGGTGAGAGAAGGACTCAGGATGAGGAACCCCAATACTGGGTCACAGAGGTCAGGGTCCCCAGCCCAGGGTTGCCACTTACCGGATGGTGATTTCAAAGATCTGATTGAGTTTGCTCTGGAGCAGCGATGCCTAGACACAAACAGGGGGAAGTGAGCTGGCAGGGGTGGGGGGCTCAGAATCTTTGCCAGCTGGCTCAGGGTGTCCAGAGTATACGCTGGAGGTACAGGGCAGCCACAGCCTTAGGAAGGCAGGCAGAGGTGAACACGCTCCAACACTTATCCACTGGACCCTGACTGCAGATTCGGATCAGGGACAGCCACCTACTGAAGGCTGGCTGGGGATAGGACAGAGGCTCCGAATCACCAGGGAGGATGTCAGCAGGCAGCTCTGGAAGGTCCTTCTCCTTAAGATGGGGCAGTAAGGGCTGCTGGGCATGGAGTCAGGAGACTGCCCTAGTGCCAGCTCTTTTCTTTCTTTTTTTTAATTTAATTTAATTTTTTTTTTTTAATTGAGAAGGAGTCTTGCTCTGTCACCCAGGCTGGAGTGCAGTGGCATGACCTCAGCTCACTGCAACCTCTGCCTCCTGGGTTCAAGCAAGTCTCCCAACTCCTCCTGAGTGACTGGGATTACAGGCGCCTGCCACCACGCCCGGCTAATTTTTGTATTTTTAGTAGAAATGGGGTTTTGCTATTTTGGCCAGGCCGGTCTTGAACTCCTGATCTCAGGTGATCCGTCTGCTTCAGCCTCCCAAAGTGCTGGGAGTACAGGCATGGGCCACTGTGCCCAGCCTGTGCCAGCTCTTTTCTAACTTGCAAGGGGCAGCGCTGCAAAACTGGTGGCTTAGAGATGATCTCTGATTACTTCTGGCTGTAATGAGGTCAATGAGTGCAGAGTGGGACTGCACGTGTTCCGTGACTGGGCCCTAATTCCTAGCTCATGAAATGGGCATCCCTCTCAAACTGGGACGAGAGGTTAGGACAACCCAGGCCCGTGAAAATCTATATGTTATATATATACTTATATATGAATATTATATATAAAATATATAAAACAGAAAATTATACGTATTATATTTTGTTGGGAGAATAGGTTATTTGTAGATTTTCAATGTTTACAGTTATGTTTCATTGTTACTAAGCTTGACATTCGGGGCTAATAAATCCCGGCGTAGAATCAATTTCAGGACTGTCTGAGCTCCTCCCTCCAGTCTAGACATGGCTCCTCGTTTCTACGTGTCCAGCTGCCTCTCTCTCTGGTCTCTTTGCCAAGGCCTGGCTGTTCCATCCCCCTGCTAAGGTACCCTGGTTGGAAGAGGGTCCTGCTGCCAACATTGACCATCTTCCTTTGCCACACACCCCTCCCCCATCACTCCATAACATGGGGATCATAATGGCACCAACTTCATGGAGTTATCATGAGAATGAAAGTGGCTCATGAATAGAAGAAGCTGTTGTCCGCAGTGAGTGCTGTTCGTGTGCCTGCTGTCAGGACCACAGTGAGCATGATCTGACTGCCAGACAGGTGCCTCAGCTCAGGACTTCTTCTTTAAGTGAAAAGTGTGAGATCTCAGAGAGACCCAAGACAAACACCCAAGTCTTTTGGTTCATAGGGGAGCAATGCAATATTGGGGCGTTGGGGAAAGCCTGGCGGGGCAACAGCAGAGCTCCCTGCATTGGAATACAAGCCCTAATGTCTGGCAGGGGGTGGAGGTGGGGTGGTCAAAGAGCCAAGATCTCCTGGGAACTTAATCCTGTCCTGGACCCAAATTCAGTTTTGACTCGGCTCCCTAGGACTCACCCATGTCACGCTTCACTTACCCGGGCCCCGCAGTGTGCGGCAATCTCCTCGAAGGGTGCCTTCTGGAACTTCTCCACCACCTGCCGCCGCCGCTCACGCTCCTGTTCCTCCACTGCTACGCTATCCACTGCGACGCAGAGAGCTGGGTTAGTGCCAGGCCCTGCTCACTGAGGGGAAGGGGAGGGACTCCTCCGGGGAGCACTGTTCATGAGCATTGCTTGGGCTCTCCCCTCGTCCGAAGAGTAGGGGACAGTGGCATGGAGGTGTGGTGCCCTCACTCAGCCCTGGAAGGCAGGACCACTTCCTGATTCTGTCTGAGGGCTCAGCCTTCTTCCTCATGTAAGAATTTGAGAACTATATGGGAGGACCTTTCAGTGGGGCTCTTATAGCCCCAAATAGCTGCTCTCCCATCAGGACTCTTGAATTGAAGGTCCTGAACAGTTGGTCCTTTGAGTACTCTGTGGGTATTTTGTAAAGGGACATCGAGGCAGGGTGTGGTGGCTCACACTTGTAATCCCAGCATTTTGGGAGGCCGAGGTGGGAGGATACCTTGAGGTCAGGAGTTTGAGACCAGCCTGGCCATCATGGTGAAACCCCCTCTCTAATAAAAATATAAAAATTAGCCAGGCGTGGTGGCACATGCCTGTAGTCTCAGCTACTTGGGAGGATGAGGCAGGAGGATTGCTTGAACCAGGGAGGTGGAAGTTGCAGTGAGCCAAGATTGCGCCATTGTACTCTAGCCTGGTGACAGAATGAGACTCCATCTCAAAAATAAATAAACAAAAAAAGAAAAGGGACATTGACAATGGTAAAGCCGCACAGACCACGAAAGTCAACACGGAACACCTGTGGCAGGGCAGCCCGAGGCCATTTAGTTTAAGGCTTCTACACATGCTGCTTGGTATCCAAGATGAGTTAGCACCAAGAAGAAAAACGGGTGTGTGTCACACATGTCCATCATACTGTTGGGTTTTTTAAAATAGAGATGAGGTCTCACTATGTTGCCCAGGCTGGTCTCGAACTTCTGGGCTCAAAGGATCCTCCTACCTTGGCCTCCCAAAGTGCTGGGATTACAGGTGTGAGCCACTATGCCTGGCCCAGACTCAGTTTAAGAAGGCAAGAAATGGCCAGGTGCAGTGGGTTATGCCTGTAATCCCAGCACTTTGGGAGGCTAAGGAGGGCTGACTACCTAAGGTCAGGAGTTCGAGACCAGCCTGGCCAACATGGTGAAACCCTGTTTCTACTAAAAATACAAAAATTAGCCAGGTGTGGTGGCAGGTGCCTGTAATCCCAGTTACTTGGGAGGCTGAGGCAGGAGAATTGCTTGAACCCGGGAGGCGGAGGTTGTAGTGAGCCAAGATGGTGTCACTGCACTCCAACCTGGGTGACAGGGCAAGACTGTCTCAGCAAAAAAGAAAAAGGGCAAGAAATGTGTACATTCAGAGAGACTACCATTAATGATGACAAAAAGTTAAAAGTTTGGCATTTACAGGCATAATTTGTCAACAGTTAGAAAAAATCTGTTGTCCAATGATCCAGATAGAGGGGTAACAATGCATTTTAAAATCATCTGCCCTTATTAAATAGACATTCATATAATTCATTCTTAATATCTTCCATTGGCCAGCTTGTTCTTTTGTATCACAATTCACCAAAAAAAAAAAAAAAAAAAAAAAAAAAAAAAAAAAAAAAAAAAAAAAAAAATTTACTCTGAATTGCTTTCTACCTACAGCCGTCAACTGATGACTTTTTTTTTTTTTTTTTTTTTTTTTGAGATGGAGTCTTGCTCTGTCGCCCAGGCTGGAGTGCAGCGGTGCAATCTCAGCTCACTGCAACCTCCGCCTCCTAGGTTCAAGCAATTCTCCTGCCTCAGCCTCCCGAGTAGCTGTGATTACAGGTGCATGCCACCATGCCTGGCTAATTTTTGCATTTTTTCAGTAGAGACAGGGTTTTACCATGTTAGCCAGGCTGGTCTCCAACTCCTGACTTTGAGATCTGCCCACCTCGGCCTCCCAAAGTGCTGGGATTATAGGCGTGAGCCACTGCGCCCGGCCAACTGATTACTTTTAAAGTCAGCTGTCCTTAGTGGCAAAAGCATTGCCCACTGTGGGCCACACAGGGCCCCACTACTGACCCCCGTCAGGAGAGGAGGGACATTCAGTGGCAGCTTTGGTGGCTGTGATGAGTTGGTCAAAAGCCACCAGCCTCTCCCTTCATGCAGGTGCTGGATCCCACTGCAGAGGGTGGTAGGTCCTGCTGCATCTGTAGCAACAGGCCCAAGGACCCCACCCCATTTTGCCTTCTAACCAGAGTCCCTTGGCTGACTTACCAATGGCTTTCTTCAGTGTCTCATAGGTGATCTCCTCGGCAGGCACTCGCTGAAGGAGAAGGGACAGAGGTGCTCAGAAAGTCAGGGGGCAGAGAAAGGAGGCAGCCCTGGCACCCCCAGCTCTCTGGCAGCCCCTTGCTTCTTAGAAGAAAGTCCCAATGGGCAGGAAGTCCCTCAGGATACCCCCAGCCCCATCAGGGTCTTGGAAGTTCCCTAAGCTGGCACAGAGGACAGCGAGATGCAGCGGGGAAGCTCATTCCTCATCAGATTCAGACTCAGAACAGAGTCCTGAGTCTCATATAAAAGAACGCACTGTCCCCTGCCTCCTCCCCAAGCCTGTCCATCAAGCACCATGAGAGGAAAATACTGCTATCTTATCTTATCTTATCTTATTTTATTTTATTTTATTTTAGACAGAGTCTTACTCTGTTGCCCAGGCTGGAGCGTAGTGGCGCAATCACGGCTCACTGCAACCTCTGCCTCCTGGGTTCAAGTGATTCTCCTGCCTCAGCCTCCCAAGTAGCTGGGATTACAGGCGTGCACCACCATGCCTGGCTAATTTTTATATTTTTAGTAGAGACAGGTTTTACCATGTTGGTCAGGCTGGTCCTGAACTCCTCAACTCATGATCTGCCCGCCTCGGCCTCCCAAAGTGCTGGGAATATAGGTGTGAGTCACCATGCCCAGCCAATACTGTAATTTTAAAATATCTTCAGAGAACACAACAGAAAACATTGGAAGCAAGAGGAGAGAGGTGGTGAACATAACTTCAGATGTAAATTTCAAGAACTGAATATCAGTTCGAAGTCTTAAAGTATTAAATTACCCACCAACGTGACTTGAGCATTCAATAAAGATAAGAAATGGAAGGTTAGAAGGGACAGGCCGGATGCAGTGGCTCAAGCTTGTAATCCCAGCACTTTGGGAGGCCGAGGCGGGCAGATCACTTGAGGTCAGGAGTTCGATACCAGTCTGGTCAACACAGTGAACCTCGTCTCTACTAAAAATGCAAAAATTAGCCAGGCATCGTAGTGCATGCCCGTAATCCCAGCTACCTGGGGAGTCTGAGGCAAGAGAATCGCTTGAAACTGGGAGGTGGAGATAGCGGTGAGCCGAGATCATAGCACTGCACTCCAGCCTGGGCAACGGAAGGAGACTCTGTCTTAAAAAAAAAAAAAAGAGGTGACCGGGCCCCCACAGACTGCTGAGGTTCCAAGGAGTTGCCCCACTCAGTCGTCTGCAAAGCCTGTAAAAGGAGATGGAAAATAATAACACTCAAAGAAGGGAGCTCCACAGATGCTGAAAATAGTGAAGGAATTTGGGCTAAATTCCAGAAATTACTCAGTAGGCAATGAACTATTAGACCTATGATTTACCCATGCTTTATCTTTTTTTTTTTTTTTGAGATGGAGTTTTGCTCTCATCACCCAGGCTGGAGTGCAATGGCACGATCTTGGCTCACTACAACCTCCACCTCCCAGTTGGTTTCAAGTGATTTTCCTGCCTCAGCCTCCCCAGTAGCTGGGTTACAGGTGGCCGCCACCAGGCCCGGCCAAGTTTTTGTATTTTTAGTAAAGACGGGGTTTCACCATGTTGATGAGGCTGGTCTCGAACTCCTGACCTCAGGTGATCCTCCTGCCTCAGCCTCCCAAAGTTCTGAGATTACAGGCGTGAGCCACCGTGCCCAGCCTGATGCTCTATCATTTAAACTTAATCTTAAGCAAAAGCAGCAGACACAGAATGATTTCAATGATATAAAGTTCCAGAAGTAACGCAACTCAGGCTAGGAGCTCCCTTAGGGGAGGGGACACGGGGCAGGGCCCCTGGGCAATGACAGTGTTCCACTCTCTCATCCGGGAGTGATTGCATGGGCATATACACTTTACGAAAATTCACTGAGTTGTGCACTTTTTGATTTGTTTGGCATTTTTGTTTGAGTAGGAGAGGACAGAAGAATAGGTATGATATAAAGTCATTTAACAAACATTAAGTGAGTACCAACTACATACAGGACTGTAGGTGAGTCCATAGAAACTGCACAATTTGTTAGCATAGGAATTACATGCAAGAGAGAGCTGTGCTCGGCTTTAACTTGCTCTGAGGACTTATCCTCTGTACGTCCATCCATTCATCCACTGTCAGCACTGAGCAACATTGGATATTCACCTGCAGGGTGCTAGGGAACTGTGTGGTGGCAACAGTCAAAGAAAAGGCCGCTTTCTGGGCAAGAGAGAAGGGATGCTCCCTGGGCAAGAGCAAGGGGAGAGAAGTTTATGGAGGAAACCGAACAGGGGCCGGGCACCGGAGAACAGACAGTTCACAGGTCCTCAGCTGCACCAGTGTGGAGGGGAAGGGTGGTTCAGATGTGGCATTCTACACTAGCAAAGGCCTGCAGATGGCTGAGCACAGCACGGGAGAGACCGAGAGCAGCCCTGCCAGAGTGGGACAGTGGATACAGGCCAGAGCAGGTGGGGGAAAATGAAATGGCAGAGCCCAGACTATGCAGGGCTGGGAATGCCAGGCACCAGGATTCAGATTTGACCAAATCAGCATTTATTCAACCCTGCAGCATTTATTCACCCCTGCAGCAAGCCTGGGCAGTACAGTCCTAGGAAACACCATGGGACTCTGGACTAGCACTGATGGCTGAGAGTGGAGAGAGCTGTGGCATGGCAGAAGGGCACAGGATGAAGGCCCCTGCACACCTGCTTTGCCACCAAGCCACCTCTGGGCTAAGCTGACTCTCGAAGGGAGGAAGGAACTGATACTGGTGGCCCAGGAGGCCACGAGTGGAGGTGGCTCTGTAGCTGCGTAAGCATTTTGCCTCCCGCTTCTGCGTCAGTTCACTCCTCAATTGCCGAGAGTCTCTTACCTCTTGGGAAGGGAGAATCGCCACTATGGGGAGAGAGCAGCCAGCTCATCCCGATGCCTAATGCATTGCAGGTTCCCAGTCCTTGGAGCTGGAAGGGCCATGGAGGATGCCTCATTCAACCTCATTTTACTTGTCTAATTAGCCCAAGTCACAGCTTCCTTCTGTGGGAAGGTTCTAGATAAGCTTTGAGGGCCCTGATGTGGAGATCTGCCCTAATAAATGAAGTGGTCAAGGGCACCGTTAGGGGGAGGCTTGATCCTGACCCCTTGAGACTTCTCCTACCTCTGATTGCATCTGGGGAAAGGCTTGATGTCAAAGCTGTCCTCCATGTCTATATTAGCCCTACTGGGCATAGAAGCTCGGGAATGACAGCCTGTCCATGCCCAAGGACCATGTAAGTCTTTCTGTCCCGGTCCCATCCAGATGTGTGTCCTCTATACTCCTTGTGAACTGGGACAGTCAGCATTAAAAAAAAAAAAAAAAAAAAAAAA